GAAGCTTACATTGACAACTAGATCATATCCTCCATCACACCTGAGAACAGCAAACTTACTTGAGGATTGGAAGACAAAACAAAATGTCACACATAACTTTATTGTACAACACTTCATCACTACTTCCCACACTTTTTTCCACCTGTAATATCTGCCTCACTCTTCCTGGTGGTAGGGCCAGTCCAGCCCCAAGCACTCACCTGGCTACAGAGACATGAGGGAAGAGCAGCTTGAAAAGAAAACTACACACAGTTAAACATGCTAGTACTTTCACAGACCTCTTCTTTCTTCCTCACTCTGTCTAGTATCCACACTCTCCTTTCTTCCAAGCACACCTTCAGCACAACATTCTTGTAAGGAGAATTGATGTTTTTGCCCATATCTAATAAGGGATGCATTTTAAAAGCCCTTCTCTGCTGTTAGCAAGCGATACCAGCAATTATCAGATGTTTTTATGCAACATACAGTGGTACCTTGGCTCATGAACTTAATCTGTTCCAGGACTCTGGTCATGACCCAAATTGGTCGTGAGCCAAGCCACATTTCCCCATAAGATTCAATGTAAATAAGGTTAATCCTTTCTGTAACTATTTTTTTTTTTTTAACCACAAAAATGTGACGCAAAGTGACAAAGAACAACAAAGATTAAGGCCATCTCCCCACCCCCGAGCACAACCACAATCGCTTCCATCATCCCTGCACAAGCATGACCGCGACCATAGACAGGCGATCACGGGCATGCTCAGGGGGGAGATGGGCACAATCACAGGCACACTGGTGGCGGGGGGGAGGGGGACAGGCACGATCACAATCACCACCCAACGCAGAGTTCGCAACTTGAGGCTTTTTTTTTTCAGAAATTTCTGTTCACGACCCGATTTGGTTGTGAACTGAGGCATTCATGAGCCGAGGTACCACTGTAACTGAAAAACCTTCCCTCCCTATCACATCTTGCTCATTTCCTATTAAGATTTGTTCCTGAAACAATTGACTCAGTCCCTTTAATAACCTAATGAGCAGAGTTATTGCTAATATCAGCTCAACTTGCTTACCAGTAAAGGTTTCTTCCCTGCCCCCCCCCCCCCCACAAAAAGACATATGTCACCTTTGAAAGAATATCCAGGACTAGTTTTGAAAGGTTGGCGGGGTGGGGGGTAAAGTTAACAGGCTTAGCTAGTGAACCTTAACACTAGCTGAGTTTTCTCAGGCACATGCTGAGAGCCAGCCAATACCTCTGGAGAGAAATTATGTTTCCCCGGTTCGGGATGGTTTGAACAATCTCAGCAAGGGAAATAAACCATTGTGCTTTATTTCCTCTCCTGTGTGTGCTGACTGGATTGTTTGTAGTGGGACAGCAACCCTCAAATAATCCAGCAACAGCCCATGGGTGACCCAAGGGTGGCTGCCTCCTCAGACAAGGCATGCTGCCCACAGTCAGCTGACAGAGGAAATCTGGAAGCTTTGGCTGCCATGTGCAGCCTGTATAACAAGCTTGTTAATCAGGCCACAATCATGGGAACTGAATCTACAGTCACCCGCTGATGGGGGTTGCAGTGATTCCTTGCTGTTGTTGTTAGTCGCGAAGTCGTGTCTGACCCATTGCGACCCCATAGACAAAATTCCTCCAGGCCTTCCTGTCCTCCACCATCCCCCGGAGTCCACTTAAGCTCACGCCGACTGCTTCAGTGACTCCATCTAGTCACCTCATTCTCTGTCATCCCCTTCTTCTTTTGCCATCTGTTGTTCCCAGCATCAGGCTCTTCTCCAGTGAGTCCTTCCTTCTCATTAGGTGACCAAAGTATTTGAGTTTCATCTTCAGGATCTGGCTTCTAAAGAACAGTCAGGGTTGATCCCCTCTAGGACTGACCAACTTGATTGCCTTGCAGTCCAAGGGACTCGCAGGAGTCTCCTCCAGCACCACAAATCAAAGGCTTCAATCCTTCGGCGCTCAGCCTTCCTTATGGTCCAACTTTCACAGCCATACATTGCTACTGGGAAAACCATAGCCTTGCCTATACGCACTTTTGTTGGCAGAGTGATGTCTCTGCTTTTTAGTATGCTGTCTAGATTTGCCATAGCTTTCCTCCCCAGGAGCAAGCGTCTTTTAATTTCTTGGCTGCAGTCCCCGTCTGCGGTGATCTTGGAGCACAGGAAAATAAAATCTGTCACTACCTCCATTTCTTCCTCATCTGTTTGCCAGGAAGTGAGAGGACCGGATGCCATGATCTTAGTTTTCTTGATGTTGAGTTTCAAGCCAACTTTTGCGCTCTCCACCCGCATCAAGAGGTTCTTTAGTTCCTCTTCACTTTCTGCCATTAAAGTGGTATTATCTGCATATCTAATGTTGTTGATATTTCTCCTGGCAATCTTAATTCCAATTTGCGATTCATCTACCACCTCCTGTCTCAAGATGTGCTCTGCATATAGGTTAAATAGGCAGGTCAACGGTATACAGCCTTGCCAAACTCTCAATTTTGAACCAATCAGTGGTTCTGTGTCCAGTTCTCACTGTTGCTTCTTGACCCGCATATAGTTTCTCAAGAGACAAATAAGATGGTCAGGTACTCCCGTCTCTTTAAGAACTTGCCACAATTTGCTGTGATCCACACAATCAAAGGCATTAGCATAGTCAATGAAGCAGAAGTAGATGTTTTTTCTGGAACTCCCTAGCTTTCTCCATGATCCAGCGTATGTTGGCAATTTGATCTCTAGTTCCTCTGCCTCTTCGAAATCCTGCCTGTACTTCTGGTAGTTCTTGGTCCACATACTGCTGGAGCCTAGCTTGTAGGATTATGAGCATAATTTTGCTAGCATGTGAAATGAGTGCAATGGTGCGGTAGTTTGAACATTCTTTGGCATTGCCCTTCTTTGGGATTGGAATGTAAACTGACCTTTTCCAATCCTGTGGCCACTGTTGAGTTTTCCAAATTTGCTGGCATATTGAGTGTAGCACTTTTACTGCATCGTCTTTTATGATTTTGAATAGCTCAGCTGGAATACTGTCACCTCCACTAGCTTTGTTGTTGCTCAGGCTTCCTAAGACCCATTTGACTTCACATTCCAGGATGTCTGGCTCGAGGTCAGTGACCACCCCATCATGGTTATCAGGGACGTTAAGCTGTTTCTTGCATAGTTCCTCTGTGTAATCTTGGCACCTCTTCTTAATCTCTTCTGCCTCTGTTAGGTCCCTGCCATTTTGGTCCTTTATCATGCCCATCTTTGCATGAAATGTTTCCTTCGTATCTCCAATTTTCTTGAAGAGATCTCTGGTGCTCCCTATTCTATTGTTTTCTTCCTTGCTACTCCTTGAGCAAAGCAAAGGATACTTATAAAGAAGGCCAGAGGACAAAAACAAATCAACAATGGACGAAACAAATCCTAGTTGGTTTGAACATCTGTACAGTGTACCCTGGCCTCTCCAACAAACTATGATGAAAACTATGGCTTAGTATTTCTGAGCATTTTAAATACTGTAATGATTGCATATGCATCAGAAAGCAAAAACTTCCAGAGGCATAGTAATAGTACAAGGCAGTTAAGTAGGCAGGAAAGTGAAGACAAGTTATACAAGTCTAGGCAAAGACTATGTTCACACATAACAATAAGCCATGGTGGAAAGGGTGAACAACTGGTTACCTTGAATCACCACAGAGAATCAACAGTTTGTTCTAAGGTTTCTACATTTCCACATTGCATCTTCTTATGTGTGAAGCCCATCACAATGTTTTCCCGTGGTTTCCTCATTTTGGCCAGCAAGGTGCATGTGCAGGAGAGAGATGCCCATCTCACAAGAAATGCACGAGAGAGAGGCATCTCTCCCATGCCCCTTGCAGGCATGGCAGTGAGTGGAGAGGAGGAAAGGGACAATGAGGCGAGGTAGGCATGATGGCCGTGGAGTGGCTGGGCACTGGGGAGTGCCTGCTGGAAGGCAGGACAGGGAGCACCTCCTGCAGCAGCAACCATAGGATCGGCCATGCATGGCATTTCCGTCTGGTTGCCTCCCTGTGCTGCAGCAGCATACAGGCCGTGCATGGGGCCTCACCATCAGGAGCTCAAGTCTCTCGCCTCCTGCTCTCTGCTTGGCTCTCGTCTGTTCCCAGCAATCCAGGAGATTCCCTGCAAGCCCTGTCCCCCCACCCTGACAGCCTGTCAGAATTTCCCAGGCAGATGCCCAGATCACCAGCCTTGGGGAAGTGTGCCCAGCAGGGCATGCTCCCTCCATCCCTGGCACCATGCACTGGGCTGCTGGGGAGAGGTGGCCCTGGTAGCATGTGAAACTCCTGTGCATGGTGGGGGAACCACTGAGCAGATGTGCAGTGAGGGAAGAGGAGATGTGTGTGTAAGATGTGCGGATAAGTGCTTGTGTGTGGGCATAGAGAAGGGCATGGTGGCAATGGAGGGGGGCACTGCTCTGTTGCTCCTGCAGAGCCACTCTGCTACCCTAACAAGCAGATGGGGCTCTGTGGTGTAGCAGCGAGGGAAGAAGTGGGGGCCACCAGCGAACACACCCAGGGGAACATGTGGACCAATGGGAAACAGGCAGGCAGGAGCCATGTGCCCTGGGATTGATTCTAGCCACAGGGGCTGATGGGATATGTGAAGGAAGGAAGGTGGAGGGGTGCAGAAACTACTCATGAGTAGTTACCTTGCAAATATGTGAATACAGGGAACAAGTTAAGATAGATAGCTCCGTGGTATTGCTTAGCGTTACTTGTGAACATAGCCAGGATAGGACTGATAGAGTATTTCTGATATGCAGTCTACTGAAAATTAATAGTGTATAGATATGAGTACCTTTTAGAAAGTTTTGCCCGTTTGCCTGCAGCGCAGAAATAGAAACTCGATAAAACTTGTAAAAGAGGTTCTTAGATAATATTCTCCTTTTTTATTCTCATATTTTAAATCCTAGTATTGAAAGCGTATGAAAAGCAAAAGACTGTGAGTTTCAAAGTTAGACATTTCTGCACTTTAAGATATTTTTGGAATTGTATTTTCCTCAGATGATCCAGCGAGAAGCAGAAGTAAAAACTAAAGTTACTGCTGTGGCATTGACAGACTCCATTCACAATGTATGGCATCAAGAAGCTGGCAAAACAATTCGAGAGTGGATGCGAGAGGTGAGGCTTGATTGTGGTATTCAAACTGTATTTCTTTTTGTAAATTCTATTTGGGTAATACTTATGTGAGTGTTAGAACAAGTTTTAAAATACACATTTTATTATATTTTAGCATAATTTAATTTCATTTTGCTTATTGCTAGTTCTTCTTCATGGGCTCTGTGCATCACACATATGGGTGTCTGTACCCACACAAGGGCTATATTGGGAAAACTTCAATAGCTTAGTGTGGCAGAGTGGATAGGATCACCTTTCCTTTCTGTTCCAAGGTATCTATGGGAGGGGTTCTCGCCCAGTCCCTCAGTTACTTTTCAACTGCACATCACAAAGATTGGGATTGGGAATTCTTCACTCCTTTCTCCTTTGCTCCTCACATCACACTGCTAAGTACCTTACCATTTTTTCTCCTTGCTTCTCTTCATGCCTTCTCTTAGCATCTCATTCTTTCCTCTCTCTTTCTACAAAAAGAAAAGAAAAGAAAGAAAGTGACAGGCTCTTCTCACCAAAAATATACATTTTGCCTGCCCACCTTTCCTGACACCCTTTCCATCTCTTGCTTCCTTCCCATCTGTGTGATGGCGTCCATGACCTTTCGTAGCTGCACCTCATGTGAGACCTGTCTGCTGTCAATAGACAGACATTCCCCATGCCTTCCCTGCCTCGGCAAGAAGCAGAAAGTCAAGACTTGTCTCCACTATCAGGCTTTTAAAAAAATAAACACTCCAGGGGCAGGCAGATTGGCTGAAAGCCAAACTCTGGAAAAGGGTCCTCCACATGGTGAACTCATCCAAGCAGGATGTGGAGAGGCCCTGTACTTCTATGGGTGCTGGGAAGGAGGCCCAAGATGGCCAATTCAAACAAGAAAATAGCTGTCAGCATGATCAAGGTTAAGGCTGACACCCCTCCTAAAAAAAGTGCCATGTGAGTGCCTGCCTACCCACCAGCTTCACCAATCATTGGTTCCCTGGTCCACAGCAACCACCAACCAACATTACAACCAGGGAACCCACCAACCTAGGCTACTGCTGATTCTGGAGACTGATCGCCTCACCACCGCCATCATGCTCAGTCAAGGGACACCTCCCCCATGCATGAGTTACTGCCACCTTCGACCTCCCGGCTATGCACTCCAACTTCACCATGTGGCCTCTCGCTCAAGCGCCCACCAGCTCCACACTCAGCATGTGACCCAGGCCCCAGGGGACACTGGGAACTTTTCTGGCCTCCCCTACGTGACTGGAACCATAATGGTCCATGGTGTTTAGCTTCCACTGACCTGGACAAGCTGTTGGAGTATTCAGACCTCCCAGAAGAGTTGCCCTCCACTGCTGCCTCGCCACCACGAGACCTGCCAAATGTACAGGAGAGATTCCAACTCCTCCACTGGGGACTTTGATGCAGACCGCCACCAAACCCTGCCAGGCATCCAGTGATACCAATACCGTGACAACAACCAATGCCAGGATTATGCTGATGCTTAATACCACCATACCACCTCTGCACCAATGCCGAAAATCGATGCTGGCCCTAAATCGACTCCCAACACCCATAACTGAGACTCTGACATCTAGTTCCATCAATGCCCAAACTTCCCCGACATCAATTCCCTTAAGGTTGAGCCTCTCCAACACTGACCTGCCATTGGCCACCAACACTGAGCAGAATCTAACACCAATACCACCTTATTGCAAAAAATCTATTTCAATCTCTACATTCCCCTGTGCCCCACAGCAAGTGATGTGATATTGTTGTCTGTACTTACCACCAGCCTTCTATAGTAGAATGGTTTTTTGTCATATAAACGTGAGAAGAAGCAGTTCTTCTTGATCTCTTCGCATCACATATATGGACTCTGCACCTGTGTGGAGTCTGGTGTTTGGTATACATGGGAGGAGTACCCACCCATTCCCTTAGTTCTTCAACTGTCCCATGTGGTGCCTCAGGAAATTATTTATCCCTTTCTTTTTCTTTCTTTTGAGCATTTTTGTTCTTGTTTCTCCTCTTCTATTCCTAAACGCTTACATGTCATCTGCCAATTTCTACTTTCCTTTCACCTGTGCCTGAGGAACATTCACTCTGCCTATTTGCCTTTGGCATATGTCTGAAACAGGTGCAAAGACATGGGGTGGATTGCCTTTTCATCCTGGATTAAGGCACAGTGTAAAAAAGCCTCCAAGTTGGCTAATGAAGCCAAGGAGCCCACTCCTCCTGTGGCTCTGACCCTAAATATGGGCTAATCCGCATCGCTCAGTTGGCTGGGAAAGTGAAGGAGCCTGTGCCTCCTGGAGATCTGGCCCTAACCATAGACTATCCACATCTCCAGATTGGCTGAAAGCCAAGGAGTCTGCAACAAGGCTTAAAGGGACAAGAAGTTCCCTCAGTGGAGGGACTCACTCACTCTGTGCGGTGTCAGTTGCTGGCATGGCCCTCCAGCTGGCATGCTGGTTCTGGGAGTTTCATGCAGCTTTGACTCCCCCCAAAGTCCTTAGGACAGGGAGGGGCTCTGCAGCCTCTTTCACTGTAGCACATGCTACTAGTAAGGTGTGCAAGCACAGGAGGATGCTCCGATGTTGGGAGTGAGAAAGATGGCTGCTTTGAGCACTCATTCTCAAGGACTGCTGTCTGGGATTAATCAGAATCAGAATGTGAAGCAGAATGGGAAGGAGTTTGGGAGTATGGGCCATGCCGAGACACTGAAGAAAGAAAAGCACAGGCATTTATCTCAAGGCCAGACTCCCCAGGTGGACAGGGTTAAGGTTAGGGCCACTTCCCAGCCAGCATAGGCTCCACAAAGAAGCGTAGGCAGGGCTTGCTTCCCACCAGTCGGTCAATGTTTCCTCCACTAAAGACGCATTCTTGCTGCCAAGCACATGTCCACACCCACCCCACACTATGCGCTGTTACCCAGGTATGAGTTCCAGGAGGAAGTCCCACTGCCCACTTCAGAACAGGCAGCTCTGCTCAGCACTCAGTCATGGTACTGTCTGCGGCACTGCTGACTGCTGCTCCCAAGCTGGCAGGGCTGCGTGAACAGGCACAGACAGGGCTTAATTGCCTTCTTCCTGCCAGGTAACACCCACTTCCAGCTGCATCAGCAGCTTCAAATACAGAACCCTGAGGAAGATGTAGAGTCAGGGGGCACCACACAAGTGGGGAAGCCATTGTGGTGTAGTAGTTAAGAATGCTGTACTAAGACCCAGGAGATCTGGGTTCTAGCCCCTACCCAGCCATGAAACTAATTGATTTTGGGCCATTCAAAGATGGAGAGTCTGGCAATCTGTTTGCCACTCAGAGCAATACTATTTGCAACATGCTTCTCTTAATTGGATGGGGAGAGAAATTAGGAGCAAACATTGGTTGAAAGACTGTGGAATACATCCTAATAACTTAGTTGCCCAAGTAGCCCAGGTTGCCACCTGTTGAAATTTTTTTATTTATTTATTTTTCCATTTATATCCTGCCTTTTTCCTACAAAGGGCTCAAGGCAGCTTACATCATTCTCCTCCTCCATCTTATCCCCACAGCAACAACTCTGTGAGGTAGGTTGGGCTGAGAGTCTGTGACTGGCCCAAAGTCACCCAGTTGGCTCCATGGCTGAGTGGGGACTAGAACCCAGATCGTCTGAGTCCCAGTCCCATGCTCTCAACCACTACACCACACTGGCTCTCTGAATCCAGCTGAATCTTCATCCAGTCTCCCCTGAAACTGGACCTAATCTGAATCCTTCCAACAGGAAGTCCTGTGATGCAAAATAAAAGTTTTTTTTCTCATGGACTATTGTTTTTTTCTCACACTCCTTTAATAAACAGTTCTTATAAGTGCTAAAGAACATTGCTCCACCAACTCATTGCTTAACACCTATCTAGAGCCTCTCTGTTGTCCTACAGGTCCTTACAAGAGAACTGCTCAAACCCATGGCGACTGTTGATTTTTGTTTACTACCCTAGAACAAACTGTTCTGTCATTTCCAAAGACTCTTTATCTATTACAGTGACAAACCCAAAGGATATCGCCTGTCAGCAGTTTGTCTGGTGAAGATAACTTTTGTAGCTTATAATCTGCCTGCTTTATAGCTTTTAGTATCACAAAAGGTGCACTGTCTGCAAGCAATGGTGATGTGAAATTCACTCCACACCAGGATTCCTCTACTGAACTGGTCAACTCTGTTGAAATTCGGGAAACATTACAGACTTATCCATACCCTTGGAAGGGCAGTCTTTTTCTCCTCTGGTAATGACACCAGCTCACCATCCAGTGATGCCTAAGCTTGCTAATCGCCCATGTGTGTGAAGTACAGAGACCACAAAGGAAGGCAGGTTGCTTACCTGTAACCGTCATTCTTCAGGTGGTCATCTGTGCATTTATGCATCCCACCCTTCAACACCTCTTTGGTGTCATGTTCTAAGTTTTCCTCCTCCTATATGCAGTGAGATTAGATATGTCCTTGTTTGCTATACTTACATTTGGTTCAACTAAGGTCTAAGTCAAGATGATCCTTCCTCCGTCTCAAGGCCACAGAGTGGTCTCATGTGAACTGAGGGAATGGGCAGTATCTCGAGGGTAGAGGAGATGTTTCCTCCAAAGCACTCTCAGCTGTGTGAAATCTTCCTGACAACAGGCTCCACACAGGCTCAGAGCCTATATATGTGATTGCCCACACCCACATCGATGACCACTGAAAGAATGACTGTTACAGGTAAGTAACCTGCCTTTCCTTTCACAAGGATCTATAGGAAAGGGCTTTCACGTTTGCATTGTTTTTATATTGAAAGCTGTCTTGGGAAGTCTGTGGTCTCAAAAGGCAGCTAAAATTAAATAATTAATAAGTAAAATATATGCAAACGCTTTCATTTTTCCAGAATGGATTATAGCTTTCAGGTCTCTCTGATACTATTGTGTAACCAGCCTTAGCCAACCTGGAACCCTTCAGATGTTTTGGACTTCAACTTGCATCAATCTCATTTGTTGTTGTTAGTCACGAAGTTGTGTCCGACCCATTGCGACCCCATGGACAACACTTCTCCAGGCCTTCCTGTCCTCCACCATCTCCCGGAGTCCACCTAAGCTCACACCAACTGCCTCAGTGACTCCATCTAACCACCTCGTCCTCTGCCATCCCCTTCTTCTTTTGCCATCTATTGTTCCCAGCATTAGACTCTTCTCCAGGGAGTCCTTCCTTCTCATTAGGTGGCCAAAGTATTTGAGTTTCATCTTCAGTATCTGGCCTTCTAAAGAGCAGTCAGGGTTGATCTCCTCTAGGACTGACCGGTTTGATCGCCTTGCGGTCCAAGGGATTCTCAGGAGTCTCCTCCAGCACCACAATTCAAAGGCCTCAATCCTTTTGCGCTCAGCAGTCCAGCTTTCACAGCCATACATTGCAACTGGGAAAACCATAGCCTTGACTATACGCACTTTTGTTGGCAGGGTGATGTCTCTGCTTCAGGAATTATGAGAATAGCAGTCCAAAACATCTGCAGGGTATCAGGTTCAGGAAATCTGCTGTAAACAAACAACAGGTCTTCTTACAACCACTCAGTGCAATTTGTGTTTTTAAAACAGCCCCTATACCATAGTTACAATCCTATTTTAAAACTTTGGAGGGCTCTACTAGATACACAAGCACTCGAGTGCCTGTAAATGAACATGTATGTATTGTGGTTGTTCTGTATTTTTAAGTATGCCCTTTTAACTCTTAAGTGTCAGAATACAGACTTGAAAATGGAGATAATTTGTAATGTAAACTGTCCTAATTTCCTTTTTTCCTTATCGTTTTTACAGTCCAATGAAACTTACAGTTTTCCAATTGTAATATTTTCTCTATTGTAATATATTAGAAATAATGGTAATAGTCTTTTTGTGAATGCAATTAAGTTTCTGTTTATAAAATGGGATTTTTCTCTTTCCTCCATGTCTTCTTAGAACCTTGGGGGCATCACTGTGAATGAAATAAGACATTGTATGGGAAGCTATAAAGGGAATTTGCCAGAACTGTGGAGCATCATAAGAACCAAGCCAATGTTAGCTGCTTAATCCAATGCTTTTACTAGAATTGAGCTTTCGAATAGAATTGCTGTCTTTGACCTAATATTATAGGTTATGAGCCTATGACACAAAGTTCTGATCTAATATATACCAAAGGCACTAAAACCTAAAGGTTTTGTCAGAAAACTCAGTGTTTCTTTATGAAAACTCAGAATGTTAAATATACCATATTTTTCACTCTATAAGACGCACCTAGTTTTTAGAGGAGGGATCCATGGAAAGCTTCCTGATAATCACAGGCACATTCCCCATCACTTCCCCATGGGCTTCATTAAAAGACGGGTTGCCATTTGAAAACACACACCGACCTGTGATTAACAGCTCTCACCTACGCCGGAGGAGGGGAACGGAGCAGGGCACGCCGAGCACGTGCCAGCCAGGTGTGGTACAGCTGGGCCGGCAGTGTGCTGGCAGTGGTCTTCCGGGCGGCGCAGCAGCAGGTCTTCCCGGGCGGTGGGGGTGAGCAGTCCGTCTCTCCGTGTGGCCGGTGGGTTAAAGCCCGCGGCTCCTCCTCCACCGCGGCAGGTCTTCCCAGGCGGTGGGGGTGAGTAGTCCGTCTCTCCGTGCAGCCAGCGGGTTAAAGCCCACAGCGCCTCCTCCTCCTCCACACTGCTCCCCCTGAGCGGCACAGCTCTCACCTGCGCCAGAGCGGGGGGTGGAACAGCACGTGCCAAGCGCTTGCTGGCCAGGTGGTGCCACGTGGTGCTGGCAGGCCGGCAGCATCCCGGGCATCGGGCACACACACATTCGCTCTATAAGACGCAAAGACATTTCCCCTTTTGAGGGGGGAAAAGTGCGTCTTATAGAGCGAAAAATACGGTATATCATCAGGGAGGGGAAAAGAATAGCCTTCCAATTTTAATCTGAAAATTAATTGTTCTTTAAATACATTTAAACATGACCAGTTTGTTATCTTCTATTTCTTTCTCAGAGGGAAGATTTGAAACAATAAGAATAATGGTTAGTGAATTAAAATAGGCATAGGATGGTAAATAATCTTAAATAAGCAGTATTTTTACGTGAATTTCATGATTGTTGCTAAAACCACATCATGTCACAGGGGTATATTTTCACTAGGTTTAAGTCTAAAGGTAGAATGAATAATAATTAAAAACTTCTCTCTGTTGCTTTATATTTGTAGTTCTAATTGCTGTCATTGAAAGAAAAAATGGTCAAAATAGCAGTTTTTCATTGCATCTATGTACTCTGCCTATTTTTAGTTCCAATAGAAGTCATAATTTTTAATTTATTAGGCAGTGTGATTGCTGATAAAACAAATCTTACACTTTCATATCTTCACTTTGCATTTGAGAATACTCAGTTCTTACAGCCAAGTGGCACACTACACAGAAAACTAGTTAATTGTGTTCAAATCTTCTGTATTATCTCAAATTCTCTGATGTAATGTTCTATCAGTAGTAATATTAAATTTACCTATATCAAATGGATATAGTGCTTCATAAAAATACACTGCTTTTGTATTTCAGCACTAAGTTACAATTCCACATTCAGCTTTTAATTAAAACTTGCCATGCAAATATGCATCTTAAAGCCTTTGTGAAATATAAAAAATATTACCATCTCAACTGTTTTAGTAAAAAGATAACAAACACACTAGCCAGTTATTTTTTAAATTATTTTCATGGATATTTCACTCAGTTCAATAGTTTCATTGATCTACTATTTCTTACAAAAATCTGCCATGCTTTGTGAACTTCACTTTCTAATCTCATACAGCAACTCTTCCTTTATGTTCTTCCTGCTCTCCCTGGTCCCAGAACAGTAGGGTTGCCTTGACAAATCTATTCAAAAGCCATTCCTTTGCCTTTATTGGTGGGGATTGGAGCCTTTGAAATTCTCTCCTCACTGCAACACAGCTGACATCTTCTTCCAGACAGAATGAATTAAGAAACTACAATAAGACACTTGATCTACCAGTCAAGGATCTTTCCACAGTGAGGATGGATTCCATGGTGCACAACTAGGGCAGCAAGCATCTAAAAATATACAATACATGCTTGCTTGCCAGAAGAACAACCGGCCATCTTGAAACAAAGATTAATGGGATTTTTAAATAAAATTCTTGAGTAAAAACAAATGTTTACATATTCATTAATTCCTTTGGGGTATGCGTGTAAAAAACTCTTTCTTCCCCTACCCATGTTTTAATATAATTATTTAATTTTTGAAAAGTGAAATAAAATCTTCATATTTTAACAAAACCTGTTTATTCTACAGCAGGCATTTAAGAACACAGTATTTAATGACAAATACTTAACAGTTTTAGAATTATGGTTAATATTGAATGCACACTTTATGAATTTGTTGAAAAGGAAAGAGCAACATAATTGAAACTATTTAGACAGTTGGATAAGAAAAGGTAAATATAAATTATTATTAATTTCATTTCTGCATTGCCCAATAACTGGAGTAAATAAATCATTGCCTCCATGAAGGGTAAGAATTTAACCTTTTAACTTGCCTATATTAATATGCAAACTCACAGTTTTATTTAGATGTACATTTGCACGTATTCTCTCAAATGTATATTGAGCCATCACTCTTAGAAAAACCATGATTGTTATATAAGTAAACAAGAGATAAATTATTCTAATTTGTGCTGAGTTGTTCCTAACTAAAATCTGAATCACATTCAGTTTCTTCTAATCCTTTGTCTTTTGTGTTCTAAATGGGAGTGTTAGTGTGAGCCACATCCATTTCAGTAAAGCAATTTATAAAGCTAAATTTACCCTGCTCAATGGTATCTTTAAATCATATGCAGATATAAGTGTGTATGTAATTTAAGCTGTATATCTCAAGCTAACAAATCTATTTTTATTTCAGTAGCAATATATTGGCATGCAGAGTAGTTACTGTGGGAGCCATCTACTCCTTCCCCTCCCTTCATTATTAGGTGGTGATGTGGCAAGGTATCGTCAGACTGTCTATTGGCTGAAAAGCTCATAAGATGCTTTTCAAGGGAACTGTGTTATTCAAGGACCCTGTGTCCTTGAACAGTACTTGTAGTGGGGCAGGGTTTATATGTGGACAGTGACTGCTTCTGCTCTGGATGAGGGCTCAAGGCTTGGTATCTAGACTCCAGCTGTGACTTTGCTCCTGATTCAGATTTTTTTTCCAATAACAGAACTGCTGTAATTGGGTATCAAGTTCAGAACCTCTGGATACTTCAGTAGAGTCCATGTTACCTGACTGCCCACGAGTTTCTGCAGGTATGAAAAACTAAACCAGAAGTACACCATTCGTGTGATGAATTGTCTTTCCCCCTTTCTGTATTCTATTTGTCCTCTGAGCCTTCAGTGTAACTTAGAATATTACACCATTCATTTTTTTTCTCTTTATTTTTGTGTCTGCTTGTTTCTGCTACCTTTAAGAAATACATAGTAAAATAGCGTTGATTTCCAGCTTCTTTCTCATTGTGATTAATTTATAACTCCCTGAAATATAGAAGCACAAAACATTGTAAAGCATGACGAAAAGTTGTAAAGCTGAATTTAATACAATTTCTTTAAGATGGGAATTTCTATAAAAATTCTTTAATGAATCAACAGTTTGATAGGACACCAGGTACAATAGGATACCGGATAGCTAAGTGTTGGGTAGGAATTAGGATGCAGTTCTGCCTATTGTCATTGCTGAAGTTGGTATCAAAATATGAAGCTGCTGGGGTTTTACTGATGCTTATGAAATACTTATTTTTCATGAGTGAGATAAATAAGTTATAAAGCCAAGATACAAAGAACTATTAACAAGTATATGATATGGTAACATCTTTTGAAATAAAGAGGTGTTCCAAAAGCAGTTTGTGGTGTAGCATGGGGCCAATTCACAGAAAATGTGTCAAAAATTTCACTAGGTTAAGGCTCCATATATGACTCTAAGCACCCCTTCTTTTGATCAAAATACTATATGGAAGAAACAGGCAGTAGAGGAATTTTATGTGCCTCATCCCCTATTTATGAACTCCCCAAAGTCATTTGGTGACTACCTTTGCAAAAAGAATGCTGGACTAGGTGCTCATGATTAATCTAGGCCACAATGTGGATTCAAAATAGAGGTGATGTCTATGCTTTGATTCCTCATTTGCTGTGCAATACAAGACCCATGTCACAGAAATCTACTCAGTTAATTTCTCACTCCAATTACTATTACTCTATTAATTTAATTTCAATACCAACAAAAAGCTAAAGCTCTCTGAGCAGTTTACTACAGTTCCTAGGACCATAACACAGTAGTGCACCAGCATTTTTTCCAAAATCCAAAAATAAATTAAAAGTGGAAACAATATTTGACACAAAGTAGACATTAAAAACACAGGTATACCCATCAAGTCATCCTTGGATATTTTAAAACACCTTGACATAAAGTGTAATTTTAACCTGGCATCAGAAAGATAATAAGGTTGCTGCCAGGTGGGCATCAACATGGAGATCATTCCATGGTCAGGTCACTGCCACTGAGAAAGCCTTCCCTTTTGCTTATACCTGCTGACCCTCCCTTTGAAGTAGCACTCAGGGGAAGGTCTCAGATGCTGAATGCAGAGTCTGACAGGTTTTGGTGCCCTAAGCTAGCTAGTCTCCAATCATCTCAAAATAAATTCCCTTCCAACTAACAGCATAGAGAAGACTGAGAAGAGACATAATAGCTCTTCTCAAATATCTGAAGAGCCATCATGCAGAAGACAGAGCACATGTGTTCTCTGTTGCTCTGGAGGAACCGATCAGTGGAAATTACAGAGAAGTATAATTCAGGAAAACGCTTGGAGAAACCTCCTCATAGTAAGAGCTCTTCAAGAGCAAAACAATTAGCAGAATGTGTGAGCTTCCAAAATACAACCTTCCCCTAGCAAATAAGCTATATAGTGTGGGTTGTTTGTGGAACAACGCATGATGCACCTAACAGATGATCAGATTCACTGTGCATCTCCCCCTTCCATTTTCATCTTCTTGCTAGTGTCGCAGGGATTTGGTGGCTGAACCCATGTTGTCTCCTCTCCCTGCTCTTATTCTGAGCCCTGTTCAGTTACTGCTATCACTTCCCCCTTTTTTCTCCTTTCAGACACTTTTATGAGATCTGTCACTGACAGCCCCTCCAAAATGCCTAAATGGTACATTGCAGCAGCTATCACTCATTTGCCTCCTTTTTAGTTTTATTATTAGGTGCAAATATTTTCATTGTTGCTGCCAACCTTTCTGTGAAGTTATAATGTGAAGTCTTGCCTGATTAGTTTCTTGGTAAATGTCTCTTGTTCAAGTGCAGAAGGCAACTTCCATGGACCCTGACAAAGCAAGGTTGTAAATAAGTTAATGTGTTAGCTTACTTTTCATTTGACAGCTGTTCAATGGTAAGCTATCAAGAGAAAAGGAAAGGTACTAGGTGATCTTTGTTCATGAAAGGAGTAGTGACTACATTTCCCTTTTTTGGGTGTGAACCTGTTTTGCCCTGATCATTCTCTGTCCTTTCCATCTTTTTCCTAACCCTTTAGGAACTCCACAAAAGTAAGATCTACACACAGCCCTTTTTGCAAGCAAGATTTTTGCTTAAGAGGGATTTTTGACAGAGCTAAGCAGAGGGGGTTTTTTTATATAGATTTCATGCTTGTCAAGCCTTGTTAAATGCCCTGATTAACAAATTTATTTTGTCATCTGTACAAGAAAATGAGGTTCACAAATGAAACATGGAAATATAGTTGGGTCCTCTTTTTATGAGCAAAGATACCCTCATGCCTTTAATCTGTACTTGGCAGTTACTTTTTGACAGCTGTCAAGCAAAAAATGAAATATTAATCTATTTGCAGACTTGCTTTATCAGTAGCCATGGAAATTGCCTCCTATGTTTTGACCGAAGACACTTAACAGGGCTAGTGATACCTGGGGAATCCAATTTGGACATGGGAATGCATCTTCCTTGCCTCAGCTCACTGGACTCTGACCCACATTTTTTCTGCTTGAAGTTCTGCACTGAGCATTTCTTGAAATGAGCATTTATGTGGGTATCCAGCAAGAACTTAAACAAGCACACATGTCAACTAGGTACCCACTGTGCTAGTGTAGTTCTGCTTCCATACATGTGACTTGCAAGCTTTGTGTACTTTGCATAAAAGAATTGTGTACTTTGTGTACTTTTTACAAATAATTATGTGCTTTGTGCAAAGATGCCACTAATGTTCTCAAGATTTCATAACTGTTAGAGCAGTGTGACAATGGAACCAATGACCTAGGGACGCTGTGGGCTCTCCGACGCTAGAGGCATTCAAGATGCAACTGGACAGCCATCTGAGGGGGATAGTTCAACTGGGGGCCCTGCAATGAGTAGGGGATTGGATCCGATGGCCTTCTGACTCCTTTCAACTCTACTATTCTATGATTCTATGAACCTCTAGAACAAGCTACAGGTTGCCAGCATTTTTGTTGCCCAGACCAAGCCATCTGTGAGATGTCATCTGAGTTCACATAACAACCGACCATCACTAGTTACTGATGATGAGTTACTATGTCATGTGAACCCAGTAACTGTATTGAGAGGTGTGCCAAGCTCACCTTCACTGGAAATATTAAAGCAGAGGTTGTACAGGATGTTCTAGCTGTTTCCTGCATTGTAGACCCTGCATTGAGTAAGGGGTTAAAATAGATCACCTTCCAGTTTCAATTCTGAACTTCTAAGATTCTAATATCCAATGCTGTTCTTCCCATAAGAACTGTGAATGGGCAAGGTCTGATAGGGGTTTGACCTTCTGAGTTCTAGCTCAGAGATTATAGGATCCTATGTTGACTGTGTTTGGAGGCCATAGGATTGCTCCTAGAATAATTTTAAATAGTTGATTTCATGGTGTTCCCTTTGTTTTTCAAAAATAGTGTCCATTGTGCAATTTGAATGATGAGGGACAACTGAATGAAAGCAACAATAGTAGCAATTTATCATATTCTGCCTTGTCTTGTGGAATCTCTAAACCTTGTTTTAGTTTTCTGTAAGTTAATTGTGTCTTGTTTATATAATATAACAGAATATTCTATTCATACTATCATGTCTGAGACTGAAATCAAGTTTATTGTCCTTCAGAATTCAGGCAGAAGCTAACTAGAAATTTTCTGACTTTCTCTGTATTTGGTATTTTGTTTCCCTGATGTCCATTAAATCTGATTCCCACCCAATTGAGAATTTTGAAGAACTGTGCAAACAAAACAGCCGAATTCCAGCACTTCTACTAATTTGTTAAAGGCATATTATCTAAAGAGTACCTGCCTGCAGTTCCTTTGAGAGAAATGAATATTTTTAGTACCATGTCTGGAAGTATATTGCTATATGCTTAGTGTTCTTACCAATTATTGTGGGACACTGAAATTCTTCATGTAGCATCCCTATATATACCATGCTCCTTCCAAGAAAAGATATAACAACACAGACCTAAATGATCCTCTTAGCACCAATCTGTGATATGAAGTGAGAGAAGGACCAAAAATGGAACTGGATCTGCATGCAATTGAGCAAGGTAGTAGCAAGGGTTAACTCTCACTTCATTAATGAAGTGCAAATTGCTAAGGATTAAGGGACAATTACTCTCGAGCAGCTGGGTTCACACTTCATCTGAAGGTGGATTAGTGGACTGGTAAACTGCAAGTGTGAATTAGCTTTGTGTCTCTTTAGCTTCAAGAAATCATTATTACTTTGAGGTGGGAAGAGGAGCTACCTTAGGAATACCAGGTGGAGTTTCTGCAACTTCCCATTTTAGATGCCTTTCTTGCAAGTATAATTGCATGCTATGCTTCCCAAAATGAAGGGGAGTTCCTACATCTGCATGTTCTGTTCTTCTCTGTGAAATCATATGTGAATCCTATTGTTACTTTCAGCTAGCCACTGTAATTGACTAATCTGATCATTTTAATGTAGAAGTATCCTCAAATAGATTGCCTTTATTTCCCTGCAGTTGCACTATATTTATGTAAAAACAATGAAAAACCATCTTACTTATAACACACTAGTGTTGTTGTTTATTTGCATTCAGCTCTTTATGAAAATTGTACAAATATGTCTATACCAATAGTCTTCAAAGTACCAGTGAAAAGTATTTTTTCAGCAAAGATTTAGAATCATATAATTCAAATTCATTTAGAATCAAGGCAAACGATGCCACCTCATAGTATTCTTAAAACCAATCAATGGAACAATAAAATACCTAAGGGGTAGCTGGTAATGCTAGATGTCAGGAAAATGG